TTATATATATCTCATATATATAAAGGTACATAGTTATAGCTTCTCTTTATGTATATGAGGAACTGATGCTTCTTGCCTGAAATCCTGATCCTTTAAATACAGTTTTTATCTTAAACGTACAAATAGAACTATTTCCTCATTTCTTTTGTGTCTTGTTTCATGTATTATACATATTATTTCTACATCTATTATATCTACATGTTATTTAGTGGCCAACTCTGTCTCTTCTGCCCCTGTAAATCAGCATCAAAGTCATCGAACTGTTTTGAAAGTATAAAAATAAATCAGAATTCTGTTTAATTGCATCACCTGCATATTTCTTCTTCAAACAACCCCAAAACAACCCAAACTACAAAAGCAACAGGAAAACAGCAACAGTTTCTTGTGTTGCTACATAAGGTGTGGTCATTAGGCTTCAGAGTTAACGCTCAGAGTTTACTCAATTAATACTATTTCTAGGAATTTCTGCTAATCAGTCCCATGATGGAATTGTGACAGTCATGGAAGCAGTGGAAATAATCCTGGGGACAATCCCCATCCATGACTTAATTTAGGTTGTGAGGTTCCAGTGCTGCTATTTAAAGGTTTTTAGGGTTTTCACTGTGTTTCTGAGGCTTTTTCTTTCCTTTGACTATTTGACTAGCAAAATATAGAAGTCCTAACAAAACACGTCTAAAACTTGATGTTACAGTTGATGGTAATTAAAATGGTAATTGAATTATGCAGTGAGGATTTTTCTTGTGACCCACAAAGCTGTACTTAACCTATGGTTTTTGGTGGCTCTGTGTAATCCTTGTCTTGTTTTTGTCTTCTCAGGTGCTCTGTAACAGAGCAAGATTGGTCACCTACCTCCCAGGGTTTTATTCCTTAGTCAAAAGAGTTGTAAACCCCAAGACTTTTTCCACAGCAGGTTCCTCTGGCTCAGATGAGCCTCATGTGGCTGCTGCACCTCCTGATTTATGTAAGGAAAACCAAATTCATTCTCTTTGAATGTCTCACAACTTGGCACCCCAGAGGAATTGGGGAGTTTGGAAGTGTGTTTATTAGGGCAAGGCTTGGCTTATGCCTGATTGGGGTCAAATAGGGATAATTGTATGGGAAAGGGATGGCTTTTTGGGGTGTTTTCCCCCTTTTTTTGTAGATGTGGTGTCTAAGACAAGGCCTTGACTCTTGCAGGTCCAAGGACTGTGTGGCCAGATGAAGTGATGGGTCCGTTTGGGCCTCAGGACCAGAGGTTCCAGCTGCCTGGCAACATTGGCTTTGACTGTCACCTCAATGGCACTGCTTCCCAGAAGAACACCCAAGCCTCAAAGACCTTGCCTGATATCTTAGCAGAGCCTTCAGCAAGTGAAAGGCATGAATTTGTGATGGCACAGTACATCCATGAGTTCCAGGTAAGAACAAGCTGCTCCTATGTGAATCTGGTATTTCTTCTCTAAGAGAGATGTAGTTAGGAAAGATTCCTCCTGAAAAACGATTTTCTGGATGGTTTTAAAGATGAACTTTAACTGTGTTGAGCAAGAGATTACACAGAACCTAAGTCTCAGGAAAAAGAAATGTTTCAGACTGTGTTTTCAAACAGCATTTTAGAAGTGACTTGTAGTGGATATAGAATAACTTCAGCTTCAAAACTTGCTGCTTACCAATTCTCACCACCTTTTACCAAGTGGAATCAGTTGTTTCTATAGTATTTCACTTCATGGGTCTAGACTTGCCTGGTTTGGGCAATGTTTAGTTGTGACAACCCTGGAATTCACACAGGAGCAGCACATCAAGGTGTCTCAAGCTCAGGTCTGACAGTGAGACCACATTTTGGTGAGGGCAGAGCTGGCAGCAAGTCAGATGCATCATTAACAAGCACCTTGAGAACTGCTGATGTGATCACAACCTTTCCACAAAGCTTTAGTGCTGCTGCCTCAGCTTTCCAGGCTCTGAGTGTGTGACGTGCTCAGATTTGGGAGTCAACTGGCAAACTCCATTGTAAAAGTGGTTTGTGTATGGAGCTTTGTGTCCCAAAGGGGTCAGAAAACTTCTGGTGAGCTCCTAGGTTCTGTTTGCAGCTTGTGTGGCTCAGGCTGTCCCTAAAAGCCAACAGAAAGTTCTGGTCTGGTTCATTTAGGTGCAGTCACACATGTCTGTGACTATCCTAGGTAGTGTTTGTGTGTCTGAATCCATCACTTACTGTTGGATTGAATCCTTAAGGCCTTTGTTTCAGGCTGAGGGTTAACAAAAATAGCTGTATCATCTCAGCTTTGAGTTAATAGAGTGCCAATAAAATATAAAACTTGCTTATTTCTATAAAACCTAATGAATTCTGTGCATATTTAATACCAATATCTATCCCACTTTGAATATTTATACATATAACCACTTTTAAGTCTCATTGCAAATCAATCTCTGTGAACTGCTCAAGTGTCTCTGGAGGTTTAGGCACAAAAACACAGTCTGGAAGGTGGAAATAGAATGAGAATGTTCCACTTTTTGTCCTTCTCAGGGTTCTGATGCTCCACAGAAGCAGCAAATCAACACTGCTGAAACATACTTTGAAAATGCCAAGGTGGAATGTGCAGTACAAGCTTGTCCTGAGCTGCTTCGGAAAGGTAATGTTCACTTGGATTTATCAGCCAAGAAATCACAGCAGTCTCAAATGTCCAAGTATGTAAGTAAATACTTTGTGTCATTGATGGCACAGAATGGGGAGTAGAAAAGGGTAATCAGAGTGAATATTTTACCCCCCAAAAATAGTATGAAATGAAAAGCAAAGCTTTGCTGTTGCTAAGATTTAGTGTTTCATATAAAATTAGTGACATTTAAATTCAATTCAGTTTGGGGCTGGGAGTAACTTTCAGCTGCTGCTTTAGTGTCAGGTGGTTTCTGCAGCTAAATTCACTCTCCAAAAAGCATTTTCTGATAAAGCTCCTTAATAAAATAGCAAATGGAAACCATGAAACTTCTGGCACTGTTGGATTTATATCATTTATTTCAAGGTATTTCTATCCTTTCATTCCAAGAAGGGAATGATTGAAATGAAATTGGAATAAACCCTAATTTCCAAAGCGAAGGGACTGAAATCTGACTGAAATGTTGGTCTAGATGGAAGGAGGGCTGGAAAATAGGGTCAATAATTTGTCTGCAACTGAAGGAAAGTGTAGTTTCGAGAAATAACCTGCTGGTTTCATCCCTGCAGACTTTGAGTCCATGTTCCCAGAGGTCAGTGCCAACCGGTTAACTGTGCTAACTGTCACCCAGAAGACCAAAAATGACATGACTGTGTGGAGTCAGGAGGTGGAGGATGAGAGGGAGATGCTCCTAGAGAATGTAAGTATCACAGCAAGACAATCAGCAGCAGCTTTTTTCTGTCTGGAGATGAATCCTTGGGGAGCTGTGTGTGGATTTGGGTCTGTTTCTAGCTCTGGAATTAACATTTTGACAGCATTTTTGAGCTGATCCTGTCTTCTCTTGCTGTTAAAATGGAGATACTTTTTCTAGTTTTTCAGCTTTTTCACTACTTTGCGTGAAACTTCTCAGCATTATTAAATGCTCCATAGTAGAATGAGGCAAAAGTATTCTAGAATGCTGCAGTAGTTTAATAGGTACTTGATTGTCCTGATCCAGTTAAAGGGCAGCAACTATGTCCACACCTTATTTTAGCTTTAGTACCATACATTTTATAGGATTTCACTGCTGGCTTTGTATTTTAATTCAGATTCCAGTACAGAGTCAATCAATGAGTATTTCCTTGCTGGTAAAAAAAATGATTTCTCTGGTGGTTTTTTTTTTCCATTCTGATAATAAATAGCCATTCTTTTAGCCTGGATATCAATTCTCTTTATTTCATCTTAACTTCCTCTTGTTCTGTTGCCACTAGAGGTCTCTGAAAATCACTTTATTCTCCATTTTACTCCAGCAGGGGTCGCTGCTCGCTGCTGCCATTCACCCTCAGCACCTCAAATACAACATTTCCATCTGTTAGTTATCATAATTTACCCCAAACTAGCAAAAATCATTCTCTGGGATTCCTACCTGTATAAGTAGAGTCATATTTATGCTGCAATTAGTCTGGGAATGTCCTTTCCAACCTTCTAAATGCCAAACATGGCCTGTAAAAAGCAGTGGAAAGGTCACCCCAAATAAAGAAGGAAACAACAATCTGAGGGATCAGCATAAAGATTACACACAAATTCAAATCCCCTTCATTGCAGTGTGTTCTTCTCTTTGAATTATTTCTGCTCTGTTGGGCTTTGGCGTTGTAATCTGGTCTAATGACATGTTAATTGGCATCTTTCTTCCGTGGGCACCTCCCTGTCAAGTCTAATAGAGTCACTGTGGGGTGTGAGGGTGTTGGGTGTAACCTCCCAACCTAGAGGTTACAAACAGCAAATTTCCCTGCAAACTGCTTGTTTGCTTGGGAGAAGTAACCTGAGAATCCAAATTTCAGGTTTTAGCCTCTGCTGGAGAAACCTCTGAAGGTTTGCAGAGGTCGATCTCAGGTCTTTATTGCCTCCCCAAGTAGTTGCTCAGGGGTTGTTACAGCACCAAAATAGCTCCTGGATCAGAAATGGGACATCTAAAATGCTGTTTTCAGGTGATTTAGTGATATCTGTGACTTATTTTACTGTTGAAACATTGTTAATCCAACCTCAAACTACAGAATGATTCAATATAAAGGGAAAACTTGCCTCGTTTTGGATTATTAAGGGACTGAAGCTGAGTAACTATATTCATATTTCCATTGAGCTGCTGAGGGCATAAATTGTAGAGAACAATATCATTTTTATAACTGAAGGGATGATATCTAGAATAATGTAGATAATATACATCTAGAGTGATATGTAGAGAAAATAAAGGATTGTATCTGGAATTATATAGATAATATACAGTTAGAATGATACATGTAATAAAGGATTGTATCTAGAATAGATATAAAGGTTGAAAGGATAGAAAAAAAGGTCTCTTTTTTTAAAAAGAGATTAGGGATATGTGTAACAAAAATCTCATCTGATATCCTGATTTTCCCCTTTTTTTCCCCCCCTTTACAGTTCATTAATGGTGCCAAGGAAATCTGCTATGCAATTTCTGCTGAGGGCTACTGGGCTGACTTCATTGATCCTTCCTCAGGACTGGCAGTAAGTTATGTGCTGGGTGGAATATTTAATGCACACTGCTGTGTCTGGATTCCATGTGGGCTAAATCCAACTTTTTCCTGTGGTTGCCATAGGATAATTCTTTCAACAAGTGAAGGTAGTAACCCTGAGCCAGTTCCCCCCCAGCTGTCACCACAATGTCTTTGGGGAACATTGTGCAGCAGTGAAGTTGGATTTTAAGGAACTGGAGAGGTTTTATGCTCTTGGTCAGTGCACAGGAGGCTGGTTGTGCCCTCCCAAGGTGACTTGGTAATCCTGACCCCTGTCTGTGAGGATGGAGGGTTTAAAAAGCTTCTTTGCACTAGGTAATATCTTTGTTACATGGAGAAAGGGAATAGCTTGTTCCTACAAACAGTGTGAGCATTCATTGTGAGATTACACCATTCTCTGACAGCTTCTTACCAAGGCATCTGTGAAACAGAGGCTGAAAAGGTGCAAGAGGGGATTGAGAAAGCTTCTCTCACAGCAAGAGCATCTGGATTTTAGTCTGAGAGCTGCTAAAGCCACGTCAGAGCTGAACATGTTCGTGGCAATGCTCAGTTTAGCGAGGTTGTATTTAAAATGACTATGAAAGGCAATGATTTATGTCAATTATAGGATGTTAAGGGGTTGGAATGGACCTTAGAGATCATCCAGTTCCACCCCCCTGCCCTGGGCAGGGACACCTCCCACCAGAGCAGGTTGCTCAAGGCTCATCCAACCTGGCTGTGAACACTGCCAGGGTTGGGGCAGCCACAGCCTCCCTGGGCAACCTGGGACAGTGTCTCACCACTCTCACAGGGAAAACTTCTGCCTAAGATCTAATCTAAACCATTACTCCTTGTTCTGTCACTGCAGCTCTTAACCAAGAGTCCCTCTGCAGCTTCCCTGGAGCCCCTTCAGCTCCTGGAAGGTGCTCTGAGGTCTCCACATAACCTTCTCTTCTCCAGGCTCAACAGCCCCAACTCCCTCACCTCAGCCTTAGTAACATCCTTATTTATAATCAGGAGTAGACTTTAAAGTCTGCTTTAAAGAAGTGAGAAGCTTCCTCCTTAGATAAAGGACTTAAGTGCTTCTTTCCAATTTTCACAAGTTTGCTCTTCAAACAACAAATTGAAAAGGTAATTTCTTACTTCTCCTGTTTCGCAGAGGATTCTGTCATTAGTACAGGCCTTATTTTGCTAGTAACATCCTTATTTATAATCAGGAGTAGACTTTAAAGTCTGCTTTAAAGAAGTGAGAAGCTTCCTCCTTAGATAAAGGACTTAAGTGCTTCTTTCCAATTTTCACAAGTTTGCTCTTCAAACAACAAATTGAAAAGGTAATTTCTTACTTCTCCTGTTTCGCAGAGGATTCTGTCATTAGTACAGGCCTTATTTTGCCTGTCTCACAGAAAGGTTCTATCCTTAATGCTGAACCTTTCCAAAGCACCTGAGGCTTTTGTAGGTGTGATTGATCACACACTGAGACCTCTCAGTGCCAAGGGAAAATCTTAAAACAGAGAACGACTATAACCTGCTCTTAGATTTCATGAGTGAAACTGGTACTTCTGGGCTTAACTTTGTCTAAAAAGGGTCAGTTGTGTCATTTTGAAATACTCCCATGACCAGTTCTCTCTGTTTTCCCTCTAGTTCTTTGGGCCTTACACCAACAACACTCTGTTTGAGACAGACGAGCGCTACCGACACTTGGGCTTTGCTGTGGATGACCTTGGCTGCTGCAAAGTCATCCGTCACAACATCTGGGGCACTCACGTGGTTGTTGGAAGCATCTTCACCAATGCTGAGCCTGACAGCCCCATCATGAAAAAACTAAGTGGCAACTAGGAGTCCTCAGGGTAGCCCAAGTTCTTATGACCTTTGAATTCGTTGACTTGATGATTCTCTCTCAGCATGGTCAGGAAATGCCACACTTGGAAGTGTTCTTAGATAATAAAGTAGCTGTTATTTATTTTCTAGCCTTCTCTGTGGGTATGTGGGCACCTCATGAATATTCATTGGCAGCAATCAGACACATCCCTGTGTGCCACACGAGTTTCCAGCTGTGACTTCCCATCACCTGGAGTTTAAACATACATCTACATAGCTACCTGCATATCCAGTGCTACCTTAAAACCACACTTCTCAACCATTTTGTCTTTCAGTCTCCCACAAATCTGTGCTTAGTCTTTAAAATCCTGATGCCACTGAGATTTCTGCTGGTTTTGCCATTTACTGGAATGAGTAAGTGGTAAAAAAAAGTGGATAAAAAGATAAATAATCCACTGAGATTTCTGCTGGTTTTGCCACTTACTGGAATGAGTAAGTGGCAAAAAAAAGTGGATAAAAAGATAAATAAAGTTAAGAAAAAGTAATAAAATTCAGAATACAGAAGTTAATAAAAACTGCAGATTTTAATGCTGGATTAATCCTTTTTTGCTGTTCTAAACTGAGAATATTGAGGTAAGAATTCAGTGGTCTCTAGCTCCAGCTGTTCACTCAGCTGCTACATCCAGAGGCTCCATAAAACCTCATAAATTACTCTAGAATCCATCAACTCATATTTTTTTTTCTCTTGGGATTTTGTTTTCTCAGTGTTAGCTCAACCTATTTAATTAGTTTATATATATCTAAATGTAATTTAAAGTTGCTTTGGTAACTTAGGTCATGAAACACGTTGTGAAAACATAAGAGATAATAGGGCAATGCTTGGATATCATCACTGTTTTGCTGTACTTGGATGCAATTTAGTCTTGTCTCTGGAATTTGGAGATGCCTGGGCAAAGAGCAATTAGGATCATTTATTGCAATTATGATCAATTAGATGTTGTAACAGGAAGGTTTCAGTAATCTACTCAGGCTCTTCAGGTAGCATAAAAACTCAAGGTCAACTCAAGGTACTGGAGGAAGAACCTGGAATTTCAAAACCTTGAAATTTCACTCCAGAGACTGAGGAATAAAGTAAATTTTAATCTCATCCCAGTCAGTTTTGGGGCTGTTTTTAACACCCACAGCAGTGCTGTGCCAGGTCATGCAGCAGTGAGAGTCCTGCAGCTTTGGTTCCATCCAAAAGTACAAGTTGGTGTGGATAAAAGCTGCACAGGATGAGGATCCAAGAGGTCAGGTAGCCACAGATTTGACTCATTGTGTCTGTTTCCAGTGTTAACTAACAATATGGATCTAAAACTTGTTTCCTAGGGGTTTAAAGTCCTTCTGTTCCCTGCTCAGGGGCTAAGCCAGTTCCCACCAAAGTCTTTTTGTTGGCTTTAAGGGGTTTAGAACCAGATCCTTTACCAAGTGCCTCTCTGTGTCCTTGGTGGCTGTTGCTGCCAGCCTATAACTTCTCTGGATCTCAGGTGGGAGAATTTCCCCTGGAGAAGTGAGTGCCATCCACTCTCAATTCCCTCTCCAAGCCAACAGCTCCAAGGTTCTCTTGCTCACCTGCCATCATTGCCATCCCTGTTGGCTCTACCTACACACATTCCAAGGCTGAAGTGTGTGGCTGTCGAGGCAGGATTTGATTACCACTTTGTCATGGAGTTTGTGCTGTTCCCTGAGCTCCAGGTCTTGCCCTCTGCTCTCCTGTCCAAGATGTATTACTTCAAAGTCTTTTATTGCTATTTTTTTCTCTCCATTCTCATCAAGAGGATTAAAAAACTTGAGAAGCTTCAATGTGTCCTGTTTGCAGTGATTGGGACTTGCTCTTTCCACTCCTCAGCTTCAGGCTTGGTCATCACATTTACTTGGACTCCAGGAGAAAAGTTGAAGTAGAAAGTACCAAAAAAGTTTGTTTTCAGTGAGTGGAAAGTTGAATATTAATGTTTAAACAGTGCTAGAGTAAGAGCTGATTGTCAGAGCTTTCTCTGACCCTAATTACCACCTGGAGTAATGAATAGTACCATAATAATTAATGGGTATTAATAATAACCACTGTGGATTTACAGACTGGAGATTGAGGTGGGCGAGTCTATTCCCAATCCTCTGCTCAGTCACTTGGATTCATTGATTTACTCATGACATCCTCAGGTAACAGTGGAGGATTTACAGCTCAGCTTTAGATCAACTGTGCTTAACTTGTGAGAGAGCAAAAAAAACCCTAGTCTTTGATTGACTGACTTACAAATTAACACTGACCAGGCTG